AAGTTGAGAACGCCCCAAGTCTGTCAGGCATCGTCGCTGCTCAGGGTCCACACCTTTCACCTGGGTGGAAGCGGTCAGCTGGTGTTTGCAACCCAAACAACAACAAGACCCAGTCACCCAGTCCCTCACCACAAAAAAAACACTGGAGATAAAAAGTTCTTGGTTTGAAAGTGGAGTGGAGAGGCTGGAGTGGTAGAAAAAAAATAACGCTTGGCAATATAATATGGCTGTTTGTTTGTCCTGCATTAGGCTCCAAGCATCTCCCAACCCCTCTTTCAACCAATGGTTGAGGCTTGTTTGGCTCTTTCAATCTACTGCTTTTTCTTCCTTGCTAGTTCTTGAACCCTTTGTCATTGTCACTTCTGACTTTTTGCCTTAGTCGTAGTCTACCGACCCGCTGTAAATCCAAAAATTGAGATTTACAAACGAGCGACGAGCGACGAGCGGGGGCTTCATTGGCCTTAAACAAACTATAAGGTTTTGGGCTTGGGGTGTTCTGTTTGGCTGATGACGACATTGCATTATTTGATGTTTTGAAGGATATCGGATTAGCTAGGTGTTTGTTTTCTATTTTGATGAAGTGATGAAGAACTTATAGCATACGGCGGCATATGTTACATACTAATACTGACTTTCAATCTATTTGGTCAATTATGATGTAGCTTCATGTCATGCAACATGCCTGTTATGCAGCCACAATTGAAGCTTGGCAGACCGCTATTGAAAACAACATGTAAGCATAATCGCTGGTCACACTGTTCACCGCAAATGGATGAGTTTGCAGTATTCAGCTCAGTACTGACCTGATTGAAGGTTGGATTTTGGAAGAGGCTGTTATACAAGTTCCTAGGGTTCTGTTTAGTTTTGGTGTGAATGTTTACTCTATAACAGACAACCTATTGTACGCTACTTGTATGCTTTGTCACTCTCGTGGCCCCTACCCTACGACTCACTTGCTAGCCTTACTGTTGTACAGCATACAAACACATGTCATAACATATTTGATTATACCGTAATTTCCAAGTTATCCAGGTCCAAGTTAGTGATGTTTGTTATTAGGTTTGTCATGTTTTGGGGCTTTGTTGTTTAACTAACTAACAAAAGTTCAAGAATAGCTAAGATTCAAATTCCAAGATGATAACTATTTGCAGGGTCCACAAACTCATATACTAACAATGATTATAAGGATGATGATTCTGATTAAAGATCAGTTTCATATCGAACATAGAATAACATATCATTCATATAAAGTATTCGGTACACGGTACACATATTGTTTAATGATATGATTCGATTCGATATTCTATTTTAAAGTGTTATACTTTTAAATTATGACTATAATTTATATTCTTATTGTTTTTGTATAAACATATAAAAATATCATATAACTTATATTTTAACTTATATAATATGTCATATATCATAGTTATATAACGTTGTGTTTGAAACAGCTCCGAGCGGCTCCGGGCTCTTTCATATCATGCCCCCACCAACAGCTCCGAGCGGCTCTAAGCGGTTCAGTACTACTTCTGGACCTTACTCTTGAAAATTCTGAAAATTTCCTGAATAGCCCAGAGCGGCTTAGAGCGGTTTAGAGCGGCTTCATATCAGAACCCAAAATTTCCAACATGTTGGTAGCCTATGAAGTAGTACTGATCGGCTCAGAGCGGCTCAGAGCGATTTCTGGAGAAGTGGCTTGAATTAGCTCTGAGCGGTTTAGAGCGGATACTTGGAACCCTTAAAATTAATGTGTTTTTACAGTCATGGGGAAACAAATATAACATAAATAGGAACATTACTAACATATAAATTTTACATTATATATACTCATGTCCTGACTCTTGTGTTGTTTTCTGCTTATCTATACTTTGACTTTTGTCAGGTCGATGACATGTGGTAAGATAATGTTCATGGGTGATGAAGCTGTTTGGAAAGTCTCAGGTTACCATTAAAGCTCGAACCATTGGGACCTTGGGGATGGGTTGCTTCACATTTGGTCTATGGCCTATGGCCTAGGGCCTATGGCTACTACTGGTTGACCCAACCATTGGTGACTCCCCTCAACAAGGCCCAGCCACCCACAAGGCACCGAAGTTCAAGTTGAGTGCCTCCTTCTCCCTATTGTTCAATTCCACACCTGGAATTTGGTTCTTGGATGTGTAGTGTGGGGGCCCCCCAGGCTTGCCCAGCTTCAACTTCTTGGCTGCTGCCTTTGCAAGGTGCTCCACCACTGGTGATCTTGGGCCATCCTGCTGCTAAAGGGGTTCAGGCTACACAAGCAAATTCAAATTGTATGGAACATTTTTGGTGAATTATGAAATAGCTCTGGTAGTTTTAGAAACAGCCCGGAGCCGCTTGGAACCGCTCGGGGCCGCTCCAAAGAAGGTGTTGTATGCCCGGCAGACTGAACCCTACCTCTGAAAAACACCGAGAAACACACACAGCCTTTGGTGGCACATGGCCTTCCATGTTGCTGATTGCTTTTGGGCCTGTAATGGGAACCATCTCAACAAATTTGGGGAAGCCTTTTCTCGTTCCCAGAAAAAACCAACAGATCGTCCTTGGAAGGTGGTGGCAATGTCCTTGGCCACTCCAGACCATCCAAAACCTCCTTCACATAAGCCCGAGCGTGAGAGACAGTTCCACGACCAGCCCGCAGAAAGGCAGGCAAGATCCTGCCTTTCAACACTTTCTCAAACACGTAAGTGAGCTTTTCTTTGGATGCCAAAACTTCTTGGACGAGTATGAAGTAGGCTCTCCCACGTGACTGAGCCATGCCCCAGTCTCGAGAACTTAGTTGGCACGGTAAGGCAACTGTTGATATCTTATGTTTACTGTTGTCATGTTCTTTTGCTACACTGCTGTTGCTGCTGCTGGGCTACACTTCCTTTGTTTGTATGTTTTTTCACCTCACCCAGTGATGAATGATGACTGAAACCCAAAACCCATTTGAGTGACGGCACTTCAAAAAAAACATAACCAAGTCTGGACCAAGTCAGCAAAGTGAACACTGAAGAAACGCTGATCCTGAATCCTGGACACTAAACTTTGGTGCAGCATTGTCAGACTGAAAGTGGTAAACCAAAACATGGAATTCTAGGCATGGTCCTGATATGTACAACTGCTGTACAACATGAACGAGTACAACACACCATACTTTCCCGGCATGGCTTAAGATGGCTTCTTCTAAGTTTGGCTTTGGCACTCAAGCTTGAGCTCGATGACATTGTAACCAGGAATGAGAGCCAAGCCCACATCTTCTCCACGAAGTTGCCCGTACATCATCCATTCAGCAGGTGTCTGGCAAAATGGCAAGGCAAAGGGAATCTGAACGGACTGTCAAACAAACATCCATCCAGCCATGTGTGTTCCTCTTGAAAAAGCACGCCTCTCATACATACTCATGGACTCATGAATCATGAGTCATGAGAATCCCAATTTCATCAAACATCAAACATCAACATCAACATCAGTCAGAAGTACTGTAACTGAGTGGCCTTTGTCAGTCCACCAATTCCTATGCTCCTGGAACCCTCACATCGCACATCTCACGTCCGTTGTTTTTCGCATTAGTCGGCCACCGCCTGTCTATATCTGTCAAGTCAAATGACCGGTGCATTTGGGTGCATTAATTTAGCTTTAATTAATTAGTGTGTTTGGCTATGAAGCCACGCCCACAACGATTGCAAAGTTCCAAAGGCACAGCCTTCCTTACTTGACTTTTGCCAAAATGAGAAACAAAAGAACACAACAAACAAGTGACCAAACCTCAGTTAGCAAGAGAAGAAAGCCGACCAGGTCATGTGACGCACCCTTCATTCAACAGGAAACCATACAGTAGAAGTAGCAGCAACATCCAAACCAAACAGTCCAGCATATCACAAGCCAAGAGACGACCCACAGCACTTGCTACTAAGGTGAGCTTTCCCCTTGTGAGGTTCATGAGAAAAAACATAGATGGTAGCCGTAGTCATACGAGCTGTATGTGACTGCGTCAAAGTGCCCAAGGTCGCCCTCCCTGAGATGGAACTCGTGGCCAAAGAATGCTGTGGTGATTCAGGTTCATCACAGCAAGCAGCGGGCTCTTTGGAACTGGAATAGTGCTTCTTCTTGCCTGAACTCCAACACCTTGCAACCTTGGCTAAAGGCCAGTGAACATTTGGCGGGTGACCAACATCAAGAGTGAACCTACCTGTTACCTGTTTGTGTGTGTGTCTGAAATTTGCATACTGCAGCTGCATACTGAAAGAAAATTGGCTATAAGCTGGGCAAGCATCGAAAGAACCAAAACTCAAAACTCAAATTCAAAGCAGAAAATTTCAATCAACATCTGGGAAACTAACAGCCCAATCCCAATCCCAATCACCATACCAAAAGCCATTGTGATGAGAAGGATGAGGAGCAGCACCATATTTGTTTCAAGTCCCATTGGGCTTTGCACTCTGCTGCCTCTGACCCTTGAAGTCCTTTTGGGCAAGAAATAAAATCTGCGGAATCTCATCGCATCTCAAATCACTGACAAAAAACTTGCTGAAGTCAGGACACGGGTTGGTCAACATAAGTCCTTCAGTTCCTCTACTTTTCTACCGTTCTAGTTTTACCAAAAAGTCTAGGCAGTCAGCAACAGGAACTTCTGCAAAACATAGTCAAGCATGGCTTGACACAAGTCATAAGATTGCCAAAGCGTTGCCGGCATCGGCATCGGCATGGTTGCTTGCCTTCCCCTTTCTAGTCAAGTCTTCAGTATTTGAGAATTTTATAACTGTCCATCAGTCCATCTATATATATAGTCTAGTCTAGGTATACAGTATAGGTTTATCTAATGTCTATATATAGTCTATAGTCTATAGTCAATAATCTAGTTCCAGTTTGGTCGTTTGTATAGTCTTCAGTCAGTGGCAAAAATAGCCTGGCAGGCCTGGGTGAAAGAAATGTGGAATTGTGTTTGGCACCGGCGCACGTCACATGAGATCAGTGAAACAAATCTAGGACAGAGCCGCCAAAGCAGAGTTCAAAGCCCTGGCGTGCTCAGAGCTCTGTGGCTTTGCCTTGAGCTCCTCTAGCTTGCGTTTTACCTGGGATTGAAGTCCATCCTTTTTGGCAAGATGGGTCAAGCAACTTTCATGAACCCACGAACTTGGTTTGTGGGTACTGTGAAAGTAACAAAAGCAGATACTGCCTTTGGCAATTTTGTTCTGGCAATAGTAGCAAAAGCTTCTTGCTGAGAGTGCTGTGCCCACATCATCCAGACCGCACTCTTTGTTAAAAAAGGTCCCGGTCACGGATTTCCCGGTCACGGGTTTCCCCCCTGAACTAGCTGCTGTCGATGATGCCTCTGCTGGTGCTGCTTTGGTGCTCTCAACAGCTTCTGGCTTTGTTTTCTCCATATCGATCTCCAGCTGATCTTTTGCAGATTCATGCTGCCAAATCAAAGCGCTTGCCTCTTGCTCCTCCAGTTTGGCTTCTGCTGTAATCGGAATGCACATCTCTGATTCCAGATCGTGGTTTGATTTGGGGCAGTGTTTGCCATCAGAATCTGCATCAATGATCACTCCAGCCACAGCCCCTGAACTTTGTCATCCTCAATGCTGCCACTGCTGCTGCTGGAATGGGATTGTTTTGCATGTTGTTTCTCTCCAGAAACTATTTGCGTCTTCTGACTCCTTCGTTTCTTTGTCTCTCCCACTCCCTTTCTTTTCTTCTTTTTTCGTTGGTTCTTGTTTGGCCGCAACTTCAAGCCAAATGGCAACCTCCCATGACGCTTTCGAACATGTAGCTTGGCGTTTGGGTCCAAAATGAACTCTGTCTTGACTTCAACTGTTTGGATCAGGATCCCATTGCCCTCAGGTTCGACAGAATACTGCCAAACTTGAACTGTCAGAATTTCATTAGGCCCAGCCGCAATCTTGCTGAATAGCTGGTGGCCTGTGAGGAAAGACAAGTCAGAGTCTGGGAGCAAAGGGTCCCGCAGCAGCACACGGTCTGACAAGGTGTCAACAAACACCCTCAGGAATGTTTGAAGGAGTGGCCTCTTCATGCAAGAACCCAAAAATCCCATGAAGGAATCTGAGCTGGTTGTAAACAGCAAAAGGCTTCCAAGTTTGACACAATTGTCCACCATTGCTCTGTTGAAGACTTTCACCAGTTTGCAGGCAATGTCCCTGTGTGGCGAACGCGCACAAAGGCCACCAAATTGCGTGAGGCAGGATTTTTCATCCATGTCAGGCTCACTGTCGCTGGACTCGTCACTATCACAAGAAAGGCTGGCATGAAATGTTTGCTTGAGGAAGTCCATGCACTCTTGGTCTGGTGTCTTCATGTCAACGAGTTTGCCTTTCAAGGCGCCCCCACCTCACTTGGCAAGTGGGAAGGGAGCGTGGAAATACATAGCGGGCGGCGGGCGGCATTGAAAAGACTGGCTTTGTTTTGCCTGACCATTGCCATCCAGGAAGACTGAGGACTCTGTTAAGGGCCTGCTGACCCGTTCTCCCCCCCAAAAGGAAAGAGTGAATCTGATTCTGTCCCGGTATGGGCTGGGTATGGCTGGGTATTTGTCCTATCAGTACAGTGCAGCATCATTATTACGAAACTCCTCCAGTCACAGCCACAGCCTGATATCTGCTGCTAAGTTGCAATCACCCAATTGGCACGGAGATGACCACATTGGATGGTTCTCGGCATCCTTGAAATTGTTTTGAAGCCTTGAGACCGACATCTTTTTCAAGGCCGCTGTCCCAACATGACCTTCTGCTTCTGGTGGGGCACCGTCCTTCAAAGGGAGTGGCGTTGCCTTGACTTGGTGGCGCTGTTCTTCTTCGAAAGTAGCTTGAACACGATAAGCAGATTTATCCTCCTGGGACAAGGTTCTCCACCTTGATGATATGGAAGAAAGTTCAGCTTTGTAGTGTTGTGGGCTGAGTTCGCCCAGTAGCTGCATTTGCTCACGCTGAAAAATGTTCCATCCGCTCAGTTTGCGAAGCTTCCTGGCAGCAGCCTTGGCAATCCGTTTCCTCTTGGCTTGCTGGCTCTCCCAGGAGTCCTTAGTTGCCAAGGCTTTGTGCCACTGAGTTTGAACAGGGAAAGTGAAACCGTGGTCCAATCAAGAACTGCATAGCTTTGCAGCTTGGCTTTGCAAACGTTATAGTCTAGTAATCAGTTAGTAGAAAATTTATAGAAGTTGAAGGAGTTTGGGCAATGCCAAAAAGGATAGAAGCTTGGCTCGTGTTTTTTTCCCTCCCTGTACCACCTGTACCGTAGTACCCCCTGCAAATTGTAGTAATGTCAGGTCTGTCATGTTACGTTTCTAAGTTTGCTGTTCCTTTGCTTATATCTGCAGGTCAGTCAGTCATCAACAGCCAAATGATGATAAAGTAAAAATGTAACTGTCTGTTTGTATGTTAGTTGTCCTCTGTTTGATTGCCAAATATGAACTGAGGGTCCTGTTTGCTGCCAGCACTTGACGAGGAATATTGATTGAAACCCATCATCCCGCACCGCTTCAGAATAGATGAAACAGTCATTTTTGACGGCAATGTCACTGTCTCCACCCAAAGCCTTTGAAGTTCAAACTGTCTAATGAATGTTTGTAAGAAGGAACTCTCCCTGGATGCTCCAGGTGTCTTCACTGCCATGTTTCCTCGCCTGGACGTTGTGTGTTGTACTTGTCCATTTTTCACTTCAACGGAGTCTGTAGAGACTGGAGTGTGAGTTGCTATGTCATGAAGTAGAAGCTGAACTGTACGCTGCACCAGCGCTTGAATTTCAGGTGGCTGCTCTGCAAGGCAGGTCGGGAAAGAGGCCAGCAAGCATCCACTGAATTCACTGTCAAAGCAACAAGGACAAGAAGCCTTTGCAGCCTGAAAATCATCCCACTTGCTCACAAACTCGGGAAGGTCTAGGCCAAGCAAAGAAAACATTTGGTATTGGGGTGCCTGGTGGTCGAAGATAAACCTCTTCCACGTGTCTGTCATGAGGTGGACAAGTATTGTGAGCAGCACTTGCCACAGATCAGCCTCTGCAGCTCCGAAATCCATCTCCAAAAGTGGGCCCAATCCATCACTGATCAGAGAGCTGTATTGTTGAAGAATCCACTGCCCGAAGCCACCAGATGCCACCAGCAAGAAAAGCTCTCTAGTCTTCTCAGCAGTCTTTGCCCACTCTGGGTCTTTGTCAGAAAGTAAAGCTAATCTGGTGATTCGTTCACTATGCCGCAACAACCTGTTCATGGCAGAATCCATTGGTTTAATGGCATGGTCCACTATCACTGCTGAGTGTCCAAACCCAGGTTTGGTCACTTCCTGTTGAACAAGTTGTTTCCTCTTGGCGTTTTGGACTGCAAAGTTGTCCTCAAACAAGCCTTCAGCAAGCCAGGCTGCAGCAGTTCCATCTGCCCCTTCACAGCTGAGGTCCAGTCCTGCCATGAGCTCGTCAATGAGCTGTTGCTCCCGGCCAAAAGCACTTGACATCTCCATGCTGCTCAACGTTCTAGGGAGGAGTTTGTGGACACCAATTGTGAAGGTAATGTATGAGACAGCTTGGTCAAAGTGCTTGAAGCGATACAGCAGTGGCACAGCAAACCCTCGGCTCATAAAGGGCACCAGAAGTTGCAGGCATTTTCGCAAACTGTCCTCTTTCCCTGAGCAACAGTTTCCAACACAGAAGTGAAAAAACGCAATCACTGGAGAGGTCTCCATTCAGGAAGGTCAAAATGTCTTGAGCGCCCTTGAGCCGCATCTTTGAGCTGCAACGAAATGACTCCCCAAGGCTTTTGGCTGCTTTCTGCCAATGTGAAGATTCCGGTGGCATGTGCCTAACAGGCGTGTACACAAACGCCTTGCACAGGACTCCAGCTAGCGCAGTTGCAAAGGCCTTCCGGAAGCTCAGAACTTCAAACAGATGTGAGAGTCTCACGATGGTTGTCCAGAGCCTCGGGATGATCAGAACTGCTGGCCTCCTGATGAGGCTCAGCTGGTGAATGCAGCATCTAACACGCAAGGCCAAATGGTTTGGTCTTCTGCTCTTTGACAACTGTTGGCGCTCCTTCCTAAATGCTGAATCATTCGCCTTGAGAGCGTCGCCTATGAACACAAAAGTTTGCCATCTGGCTCTTCTCTGAATCAGGTCCTTCTTCAACCCAAAGAGCTCAAACATGCGCCCAATGCCATCTGAAGTTACCATGGCCGATCCCAAAAAATTCTTGTATATGGTATTTGCATTTGCGTTTTCCAGGCACAGCAATGGTGTTGGTATGCGGAAGCTTAGGCAGCAACCAAGTGAGCTTGGTTCATAGTCAGACTCCAAGCGGAGATGGAGGTCTTGGATGGAGTTCATGACCGTATACACTGAGGTGCGATCCTTCAATCCGGGACCTCGCATTCTTGTAGATGTGTCATCTACCATATGCGTGTTGATGACGTGAAACATCTGAGCTTGATTTTGGCCCTGAGACTGACCTTGGGCAAACAAGTTGGTAATCATGGCCACCAATGCCTTGACAAGGCTGAACACAGCCCTTGCCCGATCCCGCTGAAATGCTTTAAAGTCTTGGGGCTTGTAATCTGCAAAGAACCTGGAGAAAAAGTTGTGTCTGATATGGTCACTGTGCGATGCACTGGCGGATGGACCAAACCCAGTTGAGTGCCTCAAAAAGGAATTGTCCAAGTCCTCCTGAACGTCAAACTCGTGTCTGAGTTTTCGGGCTTGTGTTTTGAGCAACTTAGCCGTTCTTGCCTTCTCGGTCTGATGCCTCTTAGAAGCTGCAGGCTTTTGCCCTGACGGTTGCGACCTGTTCAATTTTTTGAACTTGCGCTGCCCAAGCCAGAAGAGACGATTATTTCCCGGCATTGGCAACTACGGCCCTGAAGTGGCAGCTAACCTCTTGAACAAACATGAAGTGAGGTAACTGGGGATTGACCCCGTGAGTACATTGTGAAATGTCACAATGTCTGTCAGTGTCAATGTCTCTTCAAACATAATATGGTTGGGTGGGGGCTGGCTTTCCCAGTATTTTTTTAGTAGCTGGCTGAATTGCGACTTTGGATGGTGTGTCGGGCATGTGTATTTGGGCCTGCTCAGGCTGCAATCTGAACCACACACCCTGTCAGAGTTTGCCAGACTCCAAGTACATCCATACAATGACAGTACTTAAGTACTTACAGTCAGTCAAATTAGATTTGTCTCAGAATTAAATCGAATGCAACGCAATGCATACTTTTCTTCTGACAAAACTTTGATAGAACACTGGAATGCAATTGAATTGCCAAGAAAAATCATCTCACAGACCTGACAGACTCTGAGCTTAACAATTCTGATTTCAGGGTATGCTTTAGGCGGTGCGCTCCACACTTCCCAACAAAAAAACGTAGATCCGAGTCCAAGCCTTGAAGCCCTGGAATTCAGGATCTGATTGGTTTTTGAAGACCAAGAACTGATCATAGATCCCAAGGACCTGTCCAAGCAACAAGTCTTTGTCATTCATTGCCTCTACTGACCGCTCTGGCACCAATTCCAACATGTGCATGACTTGACTTTACTTTACCAGACATTACTTTCCTGTCAATTTCGATT